GGCATACACACAAACATAGGCACACACATACACACAAAGAAAAATTTTTTAAAAATATGCATGTTGGGCATGGTGGTGCATGCCTTAATCCTAGCACTCTGGAGGAAGAGGCAGGAGGATCTTTGCGAGATTGAGGCCAGCTTGGTGTACACAGTGAGGCCAGCTGGGACTACAGGGAGACCTGGGCTCCAAAAGACTCCCCCCACCCCCCTCCCCAAAAAATTTACGCATTTTATACTTGCGAGAGAATGTTTACTCATAGCATATGTCTTGTGGAAATCATAAAGTTCTGCTATGGATACACACAGATTTAAAAATTATCTTCATGGGTTGTTTACTGTTTTGTTCTATTTTGTTTTGAATGCAGTTGAAAAGACCATTTCATTTATGCTGCTTCAAAGGTTTTTGTTGTGGGCTAGAGAGATGGCTCTGCAGCGAAGACCACTGGCTGCTCTTGCAGAGGATCTAGGTTGGTTCCCAGCACACACATGGCAGCTAACAACTACCTGTAACTCCAGTTTCAGGGATCCAACACTTTCTTCTGACCTCTGTGAAGACTGAATGACACAGGTACACTTACATACATGCAGGCAATACACTCATACACATAAAAATATTTTTTAAAAGTTTCTGTTTAGTAAGAATTTACAGCACAATCTCAGGAAAAGAATTATTGATCTTTGGGTGTTTAATCTGTACTTGAGGACGTGTTTGATTTCTGTATTTACAGCATGGATGCTAGTTTCAGAGTTACATATTCACCCCAGCAATAGGCTAATGTGGAGCAAATCAATGCTCTACTGAGCAGGGATTGTCATTAGCTGTTGTCGCAGCCAGCCGTGCTGACTAGCATCCTCTAGCTCTGAACTCAGGACCAGCTAGTGCTTCTTAAATACTATTTTCAGTTGCTATTTCTTTCACTCAGGAAATTTTTACATGATCCCAGGTATGTAGGTATATATAAAACAGGTATTCAAATAAAATAGTAACTGATAATACATCAAGTATTTATTTAAAATAATTCTTTTGTATATATAATTTTACCATTTATTAAAAAGAAAGCAAAGTTGCATATTAAGAGGGATGTACATATATTTTTGTATAAAGAATTACATTGTGGCTGGATATTTGATATTATAGGACACAGAACATCTTCATTGTTTTTCACAGTTGATAACATTTTGATTTTATAACTGTCAATGCTGAGGGCACTGCTTTGCATAAATATGTAGTAAAAAAAAATGGCAGAAACATCTTTAAGGCCTTTTCAGAAATTGATGGAAATTCTGTCCTAATCACAAGCTAAATCCACCTCATGATTTTTTTGCATGATTCTCAAGTCAGCAAAAAAAACCCCAACAATTTAAAAAATCAACCATTCTAACACAATACAACCTAAAGATACTCGAACTTGATATTGACATGCTAAAAAAAAAATGAAGGGAGGAAAGTATCAAATATTAAGCATCTTTGTTTCCCATAATTCAATCAGTATATTTTGATCAGTGCAGAAAATGTTGTATGTACAGCAAAACCATAAGTCTGAGCTGAAGTGTTTCAGGCAGCATTAATTGGCCTTGCATGGTATGACAGTGTATACATCACAAAGTGTGCATGCTGTATGTTCAAACCAAGGTTTCGGTGAAGCTGGACCATGGAACAAGGTGAGCACTGCTAGAAACACCTCAGATATATTATGTGCTTGATTTTGAATTAATTTCAGACAGCTGTACATTCAGAAACTGTATACTTCAGACAAATTTTTTGTGACCCCCAAATTTGGCAACATGGCCCACAGTTTAAGAAGCTGAGCTCTAGCTCATGGCCAGAGGCCAGGCCTTGCTGTTTAACTCTCAAGTCAGGAACTTGATAACGATATCATCAGAGTTTTCATTCGCAGTTCAAGGCAGGGTCATGTCTAGATCCATGACTTTACTTCTAAAATAGACAAGCCTCAAATGGAGGACATCACAGCCACCTCATGAAAAAAAAATGCTCTGTGACTCTTCCTTACTAATGAGACAACACGTCTTCTGGAGTTTTCCTTAAATCATAGGATCTTAAAAGTGCTGGAGATTAAACACCAGGTCTAATACATGCCAGAACAGAGTTCTGTCACTGAGTAACAAGGCCTGCCCAAAACTAAATCTTCTGATCTGAAACCCAGTGAGAAAAAGCAGCAAAACCCACAGAAATTACCTAAAGCCTGGGCTAGGGAAGCAAACCCATATGTAAGATGCTGCTTCTCTATTTTATTTTTGGAGACAGGGAGAGTTTCACTAGGTAGTCCATCATTCCTCCTGTCCTCACCTCCCATGTGCTGGGATTGCAGGTGGACATCACCTTTCCTAGCTAGAAGATGCTTTTAACAATCTCAGTGTCTTCACTGCAAAGTTGTACCAAGCATATTTCCTTAAAAGCAGCCTTGGCTAGACAAGATGCTCCAAACTCAGACCCAGGAGTGAGGAATGGCCGCGAACTTCCTGCCAGGCAAGTCTCCTTTCAGTAGCCCTGCAGGTAGGGTCAATGTTTATCTTAGGCTGAGTTATAGGGATATGAGGGTTCACGTCTTGGGTTGGAAATGAACTTGGGGAATCCAAATGCTGGCAGCCTGAGGGGGAAAGCTTAAGTAACAGGCATCGGAGGTGCTACAACAAATTATCTGGAAAAAGAACAAAAATTATATTGAACAAGTACAAACTTTCTTGTATTATTCACTAAATATAGTATAATACTATTTGCATAGCCTTTACATTGTAGTTAAGTACTGTAATATAGAGATGATTTAAAGTCTACAGGAGGATACGTGTAAGTTATTTACAAATACTATGCCAGTTTATGGGAGGGACTTGGACTTAACCAGATTCTGGTGTTCACAGGGACCTGAACCCAATCTCCTGGCAGATACTAAAGGACCACTGCAATTGAATTCTCCTCTAGAGATTTTCCCTAAGGAGATTGTTGGACAAGTGTGCACATAGGCATGTCCAAAGTTATCCACTTTAGCATTGTCTACAGTGGCCCCAAACTAGAAACAACTGAAATATGTCTATCATTAGAGAATTTAATTGCGGAACATCTCTATTGTATTTTCATTTTCCTGCCTCAATACACTTGAAGAAGTGAAAACAAGGTCTTCTATTAAGGGTGAGCCCAATGAGAATAGAGCCAGAGGTACTGGAAAGGTGTGTAACAGGGAATTTACTGCACTACATGCATTCCCATTATAAATTTAAGAAAGTTGGATGGGCCATGTAAACAGTAATGGCATCCCACCAACTCACATGAGTACACAGTGGCATAAAGAAGCCACTGGGGGAAGTGTGCATGTAGCAAGTGTGGTGTGATTCATATATGGAAGGGTCTGTGAGCACTAGGATCATTCTGACTGGAGTGGTTGTTTCCTCTGGTGACGGAATTGAGATTTTTATTCTCTTGTTTATTTTCTGTAGTTTCTGAATATTCCTACAGTGAGACTGCATTATTCTTTCCTTTTCCTTGCTCCATTCTCCTCCTTCTTTTTTTTAACAGAGCATAGGGTAGGGGTGCCTGCCTCTGCCTCCCAAGTGCTGGGATTAAAGGCATGTGCCACCATGCCTGGCCTGTTTTATTTTGTTTTGAGACCAAGTTGCAAAACTTGTGATCCTCCTGCCTCTGTTATTTTTTTTTTAATTTTGTGTGTATGCGTGTATTGCCTGCATGTAGATAAGCGCACCCGTGTCGTGCAATGCCCACGGAGGACAGAAGAGGCTATTGGATCCCCTGGAACTGGAGTTACAGACAGTTGTTAGATGCCATGTGGGTGCTGGGATTCGAACCTGGGTCTTCTGCAAGAACACTCAGTGTTCTTAACCGCTGAGCCATCTCTCCAGCCCCCAGAGACTGCATTATTCGTATAACCAACAAAAAGAAAGCAGAAAGCACTCACATGACAATTATGTAACTATAAGTTGACTCCAGACTGAAGAAGTGACAAGCAGAGCTGTGGTTCATGCCTTGGTGTGCACACACACAGAAACATGCTGACGTGCAAGCATACACACACACACACACACACACACACACACACACACAAATACATACACATCAGAGGCGACAGTCAATATCACGAAATTGTAAGAAGGCACGAGAATTTATGTCTGTTGATATCCCCCTATGTCATAACAAATCATTCACATACCTGATTTTTCTATCATCTTTTCAGCTAGTAAATACCGTTCTTTTTTTTTAAGAAAAAAGCAAAGCATCCCCCAAACAAAAACCTATGAGCTTGTTTTTCATAAAACTGTCAACACAAATGCAAATAGCCCAGCCTTAGTTTTGAAATATAAGGGAAGAGAAATAATGAGGGTTTTTTTTGGGGGGGGGCGCTTTTTTGGTAGTCAACACATGAAAAAAGAATTATCAAATCGATTAATAAGAGGATGGATGCGCCACAAAGTTATCTTAAAATAATAGAATACAAAACAGACCTCTCCTCTCAAACCCTTACTCAGTTCAAAACAACTGTGCTTCCAATTCTCATTTTTATTTTATTTTTATTTTATGTGTATGAATGTATTGCCTGCATGTGTGTAAGTGTACCTGTTCGTGCAATGCCCTTGGAGGTCAGAAGAGGGTGTAGAGTCCCCTGGAAGTGGAATTACAAGATAGTTGTTAGTCATCATGTGGGTGCTGGGAATTGAACCCAGGTCCTTTGCAAGAGCAGTCAGTGCTGTTAACTGCTGAGCCATCTCTCCAGCCCTCTTATTTTGAATTTTTATCATGGAAAGATTTAAATGCTCAGAGGAGCTGGAAGTGGTAGTTCTTGTCTGTAATTCTAGCCTTTAAGGGAGGTGCAGACAGGAGAATGAGGAGTTCAAGGTCATCCTTGGTTACAGAGCAAGGTCAAGGTCAGCCTGGGCTATCTGAGACTCAGTCAAAACAAATAAATAACAAACAAATAATCAAACACAACCAAAAAGCCCAGGGAGCAGGGATGATCATAAAAACACAAAGCAGTTCTCCCTTCAGCAACACATACACTAAAATTGGACCAATGCAGAGAAGACTAGCATGGCCCTTGTGCAAGAATGACAAGCAAATTCATGGAAGGAAGGAAGGAAGGAAGGAAGGAAGGAAGGAAGGAAGGAAGGAAGGAAGGAAGGAAGGAAGGAAGGAGCTCTTGCTCAGCATATAAAAAGTCTTGGGTTTCATCTCCAGCATCACCATAAAAACACCCTGCTCATGTTTAGGCTGGTGATGTGGTTCAGTGGTAGAACACTTGCCTATCAGAAGCCAGGCCCTGGGTTCAATTCAGCACCACAAAAATTCAAAGATAAATAAGGAAATAAGTCAAATAGAAAGAATTGGGTTAGCAGCTTGTTACTCTATATACTGAATACAGGAGATTAATTTGCTTAGTCCTGGGGGAAAAACCTTACCTCATGCCAAATGAAGAAATGCCAAATGAAATGGAAAAACAACCAAACAAAAAAAAAACCTGCCAAGTTTAAGGATGCATGGAAGGGGCATGGGGACAGAAATAAATGTGGAAGACAGTTCTATAAACATGTCTCCTCAGTAGAGCTGATTTTTAGTGGAGTCTTACCCAGCAACTAAGACGTATTTTCCATCTGCTTGATCCTTTAACCTCTCCAGCAGGGACAAACGGACTTTGGCTTTGCTTTTGCCATAGATTTCAATTTCATCTGCAAGCAACCCTATCTCCTTGGCAAGCACATCCACTGCTTTTGGAGTCTGTCCTCTTGAAATCTCAATATCACTGGAGGGGGAAAAAAGCACAAAAGAGGCGGTCCTCAGCTTAGGTGGTCGGCGCTAGAGGGAAAACGAAAAGCATCCCCACGCCCCGCCAACCATTAAATCAACCCAATTGCTTTGTGGTCCTTTCTCCCAGGCAGAATTAAGCACAACTGTTAACAATTAAGATGCATGGGAAAGTGCCCCTTTCCCCTTTTCTTTTTTGAGACATGAATATCTAACACTCATGAAGATTCTAGAACGGTGTCTGGGCCCAAAGATAGCTTCTGTGCCACATGAAGAGGATGACTGTGTATTGCAACGTGTCCAAGGTAAACCCATTAGAGAGCGCAAAGCTCTGTGAGGCAGCGGAGACAAAAAGCTCAGTTGCACAATGCTCTACTTCCAGGCTAACCAATGTGTCTCTTGGCTATTCAAAAACATGGAAATGCTATTTCATTTTATCTCCAGCCATACTTTCTCTCTTTCCTATTTCCAGTCCAAAAATCGTATTTCGAAACATTTTATTAATTACGTAACAGTTGGTAAGAGGATGAGTGCCTGAAACTCAACCCCAGACTGAGGAAACAGTAAGAACCTTCAGAATGTGTCTGGCACCTGACTTGACTCTTCCAGTTTACTGTGAGGTGAGCACACAGCTGCTAGCTGGTCTTACAGGGTGCTCTCCACCAATGTGTACCATGGGATGCCCAGATAAATGCTGGGGCTCCTATGCCTAGATATATGCCCCTTACTAAGAGGCAGTCTGTCTATTTATCCCACTGACCATCTGACAGAGTGAGGAGTGAAGACACAATTATTTCCAGAGCCTTGATGGTCTCACCAGAGAGAACAGCCATTCCCTGACTGTCCTTGGGACACAGTGGTCTTCACAGGGAGCTGGAGACCACCCCCAAGGCTAAAGGCGGCTCTTCAGCTATGATTGTTTTCTGTGGCTACTGCTGACAGTCTACTCAGCTCCAACATGACCCTATAGTTCTCCTCAGACAAGACACTAGGGAAGTCTGACCTTAGCATAGGAGATAATTGGAAACTCACCTCAATTGGTCCAGGGGCACCAGGGGCACTGAGAGAAGTGATACCTTGGACCAGTGTGGGCTGAGCTCTGGTTTCCCATCAGGTAATCACCCAGGGATAGATCTTTCTAGCTCTTCTCTCACCCTTACTTTCTGGAATCCTACTTCATCTTGTATTCTTGGCTATACCTTTTATCTGTTTCTCTCCTTTTATCATCCTTGAAATTGAACAGCTCAGTCTCAGAAAGTGTCCATGTTTTCTCCTTTATTAGCTAAAGAGTCAGTGACATGATTTTGATTTTTGCTTGTTTGAGGTGGGGACTATGATATAGCTCAGGCTGGCCTAAGAGCTCTCAATCCTCCGCCTCATTCTCTCAAATGCTGGGATTACAGGATTGTTTTGATTTTTTTTTTTTTTTAGGGGTTTTAAAAATAAACAAGCTGCCTTTCCCAGGTACTCCCAAAAATCAATTTTGGCAAACAAACTCAAGATTACAGGATTGTTTTGATTTTTTTTTTTTTTTGAGTGATTTATAAACTACACAGGCTGCCTTCCCTAGTAGCTCCAGAAATCACATTTGGCTAAGCAATCTCAGCACCCCTCCCCAAGTAGAGTCTACTTTGAAAGATTTTGGTACACAATTTGGTAGAATCTCAATGTTTTAAATTTTTTTTTAGCTCTCTGCAGGTGCAATATATTAGTTTCTTTATAAATAATGAAAAGGGAAGACGTCTTATGAGACAGAATGTATAACCACAGGGGTGCTGCTCTAAAGAATAACATTCCTCCTTGGATTTATATTAAGGAATCAAAGAAGTTTAAGATTATTGTGATGATTCTAAGTTTATTGTGAATGTAAAAACAAGTTCATGGGCATGCTCAAAGAACAGTCATCTGACTGCCCAAAAAAACAGGTCAATTCTGAAAAGCTGGGCACAGTTGCACATGTCTATTATCTCAACACTCCAGAGGCAGAGGCAAGAAGGTTTAGGCCAACCTGGGCTACATAGTGAGACACCCCCCCTCCCCTACACCCCTCTAAAAAGACTTGGTAATCAAGTGAAAAAATCAGCCAGCCACTGAAGGCTTTATCTATTCAATACTCAGTATATACTAACATTGCTGGGTGGAATGACTTGGGGTTCTGGCATCACATAGCTGGGTAGGGTTGTGGAGCCAACTCACTGGGATGGCACAGCCAGCAATGACTCAGTATAAGGCTGGAAAATGCCCATCTCTGGCTCAGATATCTAGTCATTCTAAACTATATACTAAGATCCTATCCTGTGGTTTGTATTTCCAAATTTATATACAGGGAATGGATGGCTGAGACCCATTAAGTACCACTCTGAAGAAAACATCCATCCTGCTCAACACAGCATCTCATCATCAGTTCTGAGTAAAGCTGAGTGATATTTGGGTTGCTTGGTCATTTTCTCCCAGTATCAGAAACATACTTTGCCTTTAAGACTAAGTTGGTCCATATCCTGGGCATTAAAAGCCCCGATCAACATTTTCCAAATATTGCATTATCTTATTCTGTCAAATCTTATTCTGCCAAATCTAGGGTCATTGTTTTCTGGGCCATGAAGAAGAAACAACATTACTACTTAAATATAAAACACACCACTGAGACAAAATGAAATAGTATGTATTCTTAAAATTGGTAGAACATGGTAATTGTGCTCATCATGATTTAATTTGGGAGGATTTACAAGAGAGAAAATCATGTGACAAGTTGATGATTAGAAAAAGTTATCTATGACTAAAACCCAAATACTGGGACTGGAGATGTAACTCGGTTGGTACAGAGCTTGTCTTGAATGCATGAAGCCCGGGGTTTGATCCTTAATATTGCATAAACTGCCCCTGTTAGTGCACACCCATAATCTCAGCACCCAGAAAGCAGAGGCAAGAGGGTCTGAAAAGGTCATCTTTTGCTTTGTAGTGAGATTAATACCAGCTTGGGCAACAAGAGATCCTGTCTCAAAGAAACAAACAATACTGGGTTGTAACTGACTGACTAGAGACGGGTGGCACTTGGTGAGCTGCCATTGTGCAGAAACAGGACATTACCCACCTGGGCACAGGGGAGAGGGGCTGCAGTTTCAAGCAGTGGAGCCTCCATCTCCGGTGCTGCTGTTCCCGGAGCCATCTCCTGCCGCTGCTGACCATGTTCTTCAGGAGGGAGGGAGAGAACAGACGGTAGAGTGAAGGGGGCAGGGTCACACTTAAACTACAAGAACACTGCTCATGGGTGTTACAAAGCAAAAAGAATCATAAAATTGCATAGCCATCAGAAACTATTAGTAAGAATTTGATTCACATGTAATTAGGCCTGTCGGCTTTGCTTATAGGCTTGTCCACATACGCACTGTTAGGACAGCTTACATGTTCACAAAAGGCACCAAGAATTCAGATAGAATTATACTGTTTGGATTCTTTCCCTCTTTAAAAAAATTGTGTGTGTGTGTGTGTGTGTCCCTGTCCGAGGCAGACTCCAGGTGTGTCTTCTATTTCTTCCATCTTATTTGAGATAGATCTCTCCGTAAACCCGGAGATAGCCAATTTGGCTAGAATGGCTGGTTAGTAAGTACTAGCGATCCTCCCGTCTCTGCTTTCCCAGTGCCTAGATTACCAGCATGCACTGCTGTACCCAGCTTTGTATGTGGGTGCTAGGGATCAAACGCAGGTCCTTGTGCAGAAACACTTTACTCAGCCCTGTGAATGGATTTTCATCTTAATTAAAAAAGAAAACTGCGGCATTGCACGACCTGGGTGCACTTACACACATGCAGGCAATACACTCACACATAAAATAAAAATAATAAATATTTTTTTTTAAAAAAGAAAAATGAAGACAATATAAAACTTCATGAAAGATTAGCTTGGATGTCCAGCTTCCAAAATGTGTAACACCATGGAAATCAAATTACTCAACAGTGTTATATGTACCTATATATAAAATAGTTAAGTGAAATTAAAATAAACAGAAGTAGAACTAGGCATGGTCGTTCACACCTGTGATCCAGCACTCAGGAGGTAGAGACAGGAGGATCAGGAGTTCAAGGAGATCCTCAGCTACAAACTGAGTTTGGGACCAGCCTGTGTGACATGAGACACTGCCTCAAAAGGACAAAATGAATGAATGAATGAATGTATAAATGAAAACCTGGCTCTAGTTGAACATAATCTATAGAAATGTTGGACTTTTTTTTTTGCTTATTTTCCCATACGTTAAGCAGCAAATGCACTAAAACTTGCTTAATTCTGCTGCAGTACAAACAAAGCTTTGGGCCTCTCCACTGCTCTGACGCCCCTCCATCCAGCAGACACCATCCCTGTGGGCTCCAGCACCATCACCCTGGCTCACACAGTGAAGAGCTGGGACCTTAGGCTTTAGGTTACACCACAACCAATGACGACACATGCCAACAGCCATGTGGGTGCCGCATGTTCGAACAAATCCCCCATCCTACACAGAGCCCTGGTTGACATCTGATTTCAACTGCTTGAGAGGTCTTGAGCCAGAACCACAAAGCTAACCTGCTCCCAGGTCTCTGACCCACAGAAACTATTGAGACGATACAAGCTTATTGCTTTGAGTTGATACATCTTAGAGGTAATACATTGCACAAATCCCACTCTGGGTATACATGTCATGTGACAAGCATCTTTAAGTTCCTATTTCCTCACATCAAATGGGCTTGACACCTTGTATGTGAAGGGTTTAAAATGGTATCTGGTAGACAGAAAACACTTGTAAAACAGCAGCACTAATCAGATGTCCAAACTCAAAATTCTCAAATAGCCTTGTCAAACAAACCTGAATCCGCAGGGCTGCAGCAAGGAGACTCACGTCATCTTCTGCAATGAGTCTGCTCATGTGGGCCCCAGGAGAACCACCTCTAAGCTTCCCTACAAGGAAGAGAAGAGGCTTTAGGCACATCGTCATTTATAACTAACTGCCCATGGTCAAACTCCAGCACGTTGAATCATGGTGTCAGTTTTCACCCAGGAAAGTTGGGAGGTCAGAGTATGGCTGTAGGTGGGTTAACCCTGACACAACCTTTGGCTCTCAGTTGGGCTTCTTTTGTACTGTATATCAGAGGCTGTCCATCTAAGCTGTTAACCTGGGATAAATGCAGGTGTAGTTGGCAAAGCACAATATGATTAGGAGGTGTGATGGTTGGATGAGAATGTCCCCCATAGACTATTTGGACAGTTTATCCAAATAGTTGTTTTGGGAGGTTTTTAGGAGGGGTGACCATGCTGGAGGGAGCATGTCACTGGGGGTGGACTTTTGAGAGTTCTTAAGCCTTGCCAGATTTCCAGTCTCTCTCTGCTTCCTGTGCCTGCTTGAAGATGTGATCACTCTGCTTTCTGCCCCGGGCACCTCCTTCCACTATGCCTCTCCTGCCATTGTGGACGCTTACCACTGGAACTATAAATCCAAACAAACTCTTCCTTCTATAAGTTGCCTTGGTCAAGGTGTCTTATCACAGCAACAGAAAAATAATACAGGAGTTCATATCTCTCACACTGAGGCACAGAGAAATTCATATATATATATTTACCTGGGTATGGTAGCACAGGTCTGTAATCCCAGCACTTGGAAAGTGGAGGCAAAAAGTATAGCATTTGAGGCCAGTCTGGGCTACACAACAAAACAGTTTCAAAAACATAAATAAAAATGAATAGAGATAGGGGCTGGAGAGATGGCTCAGTGGTTAAGAGCAGCAAAGGTCCTTGCAGAGGACCTGGGTTTGGTTCCCAGCACCCACATGGCAGCTAACAACTGCCTGTAACTTCAGTTCTAGAGGATCTAATGCCCCCTTCTGGCCTCTGTGACCACTGAGTAAATAAAATCAATGACTACGGGGCTGGCTCAGTGGTTAAGAGCATGGGCTGCTCTTGTAGAGGACCTGGGTTCAGTTCTCAGTGCCAACAGGATGGCTAACAACTGTAACTCCATTTCCAGGGGATCTAATGCCTTCTTCTGACTTCCACAGACATTGCATACCACGGGGACACTTATATACATGGACGCAAAATACTCATAAAAGAAAAATGAATAAATCAAAAATAGTTTTTAAGTAATTGCTTTTTTGTGAGCCTGAGTTTGATGTCAGGTGTCTTCCTTGACCACTTTCCACTTTATTTATGGAAGCAGCGTCTCTTCCTGAAGCTGGAGCTTGCTGATTCTGCTGCCCCAGGGATCCTCTGTCTCCATCTCCAGGGTGCTGGGATTACAGGTGATGGCTCTGCTCGCGTAGCTTTTATGTAGATCCTGGTAAATCAAACTCTGATCCTCACTATCATGTGGCATGCATTTTATCCACTGACTCATTCCCCAGCACCATAAATTGGGTTTTTTACTTACCCAAAGAAAATTCCTGTTACAGAAATACAACCTACTATCTATCAAAGGTTAGCAATTACATTTTAGGGCATTAACTTAACGGATTATCTGGTACTGGTTTCAGGTCTAGAGTGCCCCCAAATGCTGGCTTATCAGCCTGGGGCCCTATCAGGAGGTGCTGGGACCTTTAAGAGGTGGGAGCTAGTGGGAGGAAGTTAGGTCATTGAAGGTCATGGCCTTGGAGGAGCTACTGGGACTCAAGCTCCTTCCTCTTTGTCTGGTTGCTTCCCAGTCACCATACCTGTCATGATGTGCTAAGTCACTATGTGCCTAAGTTCCAGGGCTGAGTGATCCCAGACTGAACTCTCTGAAACCATGTACCCAAATAACCTTTCTTTCTTATCAGTTGATTTTTCTCAGGTGCTTTGTCACAGCAGCAGAAAGCTGACAAACACCTGGTCTCCAAATTGGGAAGGCATGAGTAAGAATTGCATTTTCCTCTCCTTTAGTTAGCAATTATAAAATTTATTAAAAGAAAGCACACATGTAAAATGCTTTTGCCTACATCCTCTTTTAGGGGAAAGAAAAGCTTCTAATGGCAACTTTTTTGAATTAAGGAACAATTTTCTTCTTTCTTTGGACCACTCTACTCTTAAATTATCCACTTTGCTGACAATCCTTTGCAAGAAATTGCACAAAACACTTAAGAGTATGTGATTCGTGATGTTCTATTGTCAAACACATTAAGGGTGTTGGAAAACCATATCCCCCGGGTATTGTTTAAAAGATTAGCAACACTTCAGTTCTATAAATCACATCCAGGCAAAAGGACAGAGTCAAAAATGAGAGATTGTTTCACTTTCCTTTAACCACCAGAGACCAGATTGTAAAATCCTGTCCGACTACTACAGAAAGGAAACCATTCTGTTCATTCTTCCATCCTTAAGTGATGGAGAAATAAATCAAAGCTACATCCTGGGAGCTGGTATCAATGCAAAAATGATGTTTTCAGAATACAACCACGAAGGCCCATGTGAGAGGAAACTTAACCTACACAGCTACGCCACAAAGAATTCTTATCACTTTAGGGCTCAGGAAAAGAGAGATTTGATGGCTGATATGTCTCATGAATGGTTTCAGAAGACAATACAGTGCTATGATGGCACCAGAAATGATGAGGGATTTGTGGAATAGAGTAGCAGGTTTGAATAGACTGAGGAGAAGCCAGTGTGGAGGGAGCTATAACCCTGAATGCTAACAAGTCTGTGACCAGGTCAAACCTCCCCTTTCACTGGGACTTTGCCTTGGCCATAAATGCAGTCAACAAATAGCAAAAGTTGTGGCTAAAACTGTAGGATCAGGACACCAGATCTGTCCTCAGGAGCTCAGCAGATTGCTCCTGTTCATGCACATGGCTAACTTCAGCTTTTGAGGCACAGTAGACTAACGCTTGCTACATAAATAGTTAACTTGCACATGCTGGGCAAGTATGGTGTCACTGAGCCACACCCACCTTAGTTACACACACACACACACACACACACACACACACACACACACACCTTGAACTTTACAAGAATCTTATAGAACTCAATACTTCTCTTGAGAAGTGGGTATCTGATTTCGACAATATAATTTTCTTTTCTTTCTATTAGATGCAAATAAAATTAAGCAATGATTTTTTTTTTTTAGTGGA